ATCGGTGCAGTGTTTGTAATATGCGAAGCATGCTCTCTTGGTGTGCCTACATTTTAGTGCACAACGCGATGGCGATAGCGTAAAAGGTGTTAAGGGCACAACTAGTGTAACCGCCTAAAAAAAGGTGATTTTTGGGAATTTATATTAAAAAAACTACATACTAGGAATAAAACTACTACATACTAGGAATATATTTATACATGTTTTAAGAATAAATAGTAAATTTTTTGAAGAAAAAAATTATATATTTTTTAAGTTATCGTCGATCTCCAACGGCGCGACAAAACGTGGATGAAATTAAAAAAAAAATCTCGTTAAACTAGATAATATTGTCTGTAAAATAAACTACGATAAAGAAAAAAAATCAAAAATTGATAAAATGACGGCGTTTTTTTTAAAAAAAGTCGAATTTTACCCAAAATTTTGGTCGTTTTGGTCGTCGATCAAAAAATCGATAGTTCATTTTACGGAGGACTATATATAGAACGTGTAAAAAAAATTCGATAGTGATCGGATCATTTGTTTTTGAGTAATCGCTAAAACGCGTTCAAAGATAAAATGATCGTAACACTATAATACTATGTATATACTCTTTAAATGGCTGTGACTCAAAAACTATTTAAGATATCGATTTAAAATTTTAGTATGTTATTTTTAAAACTATAACCTATCGAAATATGGAAAAATTGAAAATTCGATTTTTTGAAAATTTCACACTAGTTGTGCTCCTTAAGTAGGAGAGTTGCTTGAAACGCCACTAGCCTATTTGGGAGGCAAGTCCCTCATAGACTTCCATGGAAAAAATGAGATTGAATGACACCAATGAGAGTACAATACCATAGATTCTAGTGGTTCCTAGATCCTTACTTCATGAAGTGTAATGTCTAAGAGCAGTTTCGTGATGACAACAGGAGAAGTTAGTTTTCATCAAAAAATCAGATTTGCTAATTTTATGTTTTCTCGACGTTTCAAGCCATTCTGAATCTACGTGTATGTGAACATATTTTTTTCAAAAACTGCCGAATTGACAATCGTTTGTCAGTTTTGCGCGACGATCGGCCAGCGCCGATTGCAAATAACAGAAAAGTGAAAAATTTGTTTGTCCACGCTTGCAATTCTGAATCGATCTTGAAAATTAAAAAACCGAAAGATATTGTTCGGGAATCGACCTGTTAGTTTTGGTAAAGATTTGTTGGCACAATTTCTTTTGTAAAAAACTGTTGAATTTTTTTTTCGACGATTTTTATGATTTTTTTTTACTGTAGATACCATGATGTTAAAGATAATATTGAAATATTACGGCCCTACGACAAGTCGGTTAAATTTAAAAATTCGTCAAAGTTTGAAAAAATTAGTATTTTTTTTGACGTTTGTAAAATTAGACCTTTCATCGACTTTTGCTCAAAAACGCCTGAACCGATTTCAAACATTTAAAAACCATTCGATGTATCTCGATATGGATTATAGTTTCTTAGTTTTGTGCGACGATCGGCCAAGCCGTTTCTTTGTACAACAATGTGTAAAACTTTTCGTCCACAATCCTGAAACGATTTTAAAAAATCAAAAACTGTTCGAAAGATATTGTTTGGGAATGATACTGCTTTCGGACAGAGATATACAGAACCGTTGAAAAAAAATTTTTTGGGCGATTTTTATGTTTTTATGAATATTTTTTTGACTATGGTATGGTCTTTATAGAACATACTAAAACATTGCGGCCTCAAGGCAAATTGCTGGAATTTCCCGTACCGTACCGTAACGAAATATTACATCTACATGATCGAGAATTATTACATGTTTTCAAATAGATTATTATAATACTGTTACATTTTCTAATATTTATAAGAATTATATAAACTGAATTAAAAAGTTAAAATTATTTATTTAAGGTATATACTTTAGACCTTTAGAATGTAAATTACAACAATTATTTTGCCAACACAAGCAAAGTGTTGTTTAGATCATTCAAACCGGATACCTCGTTCCGTTCTCTTAAAAACTCGGTTTCTATTTTCTGCTTTTTTTTGCTCCATGCCTCAGTAACGGCTGGACCTGTCTTTGTCAAAAACTAATCACCGCTTCTCCCCATCATTGCGACGAATTGAACGTTTTTTTGAATATTTTGAATCGGATGCCCGGTTCTCGCAAAAACAGAGTTTTCATTTTTGCACCCTTTGCTTGGTATCTCGGAAACGGCTGGACCGACCATTAGTAAGAGTCTAATAAGTATGCCAAAATGTTCAGAAACCTCTGAAAAATGAAGTTATGCTAAAAAAAATATTTTCATTTTTTTGCCCATTGCTGTAATTTACCCCATGAGAAGTTATAAAAAATAAGGTCAATTAAATAATTATATAATTATTACATATTATATCAAATCAACCATCAAATGAAGAAAGTTGATTAATAATTGTTTCTAGCAGTTGTTGCTAGATTTACAAAAAGGTAATTAACAATGCGATAATCCAATTCGAATTTCTTTAAGTATGAATCATGCTTTTAGCAGAAATTACTTAATTTTCACAACAATTCTGTGCTCTATTATTATAAATTAAAGTTGCTTTATTGGCAAATATTCATTAGTACTTTGATTTACTTTTGAAATACATATCTATGCCATAAAAAATAATTATTCATTTTATTCAATATTGCTAGTCTTTGTTTAACAAAAACTATGTTTTACAGTAATTATATAAAATGTAAAAATTATATAAACACATAATAAATTCATGTATAGCACGATTCATTTATGCACTTGCAATACAGAATCCCTATTTTATAGATATTTTGAAATTTGAAGAATATTTACATTACACTTACATATGTTCAATGATGTCTAAAGAAATTAATAAGGTGGGAACTTAAAAATTGGTGTATCAGATTTTCTTGATAAGATCTATAAAACGACATATAAATATTTGAAATCGCATTCATTCAATATACCTAATTGCCCTAAACTCACCCACTGCATACTAGAATAATTATGTACACCTGGATTCAGTTTTCTTTGTAGGCAGAGAACACTCACAAATTTTTTGAAATGTATCACTTAGTCATATACATCAATTCTTAAAATTTATTAAAAAAAAAACACTTAATATTTAGGAGCTTCAGAATAAAAAACATTCATTAATTTTTCTTGTAAATTTCAACGTTTAAAATAACCTATGTTCTATACTCTATCATTGCAAAACTTTAACGTCAAAAAATTGATTACATATTCCTAAAGAATTCACTTCACGCAGCAAAATTTCTATGAAATAGCACTAAGCAAGACCATTATATATAGCCGGTATTTGAGTTCTGTTTAAGTGTTGTGTATTATTATTATATCTACTTCTTTCATACTTTTGTTCATTACATTTCAATATTAACTTTATAACTGAATAACTGTTTATTTTGGTAAATTAGATATTTATATAGTCTTATTTAAAATATATGCTTATATTAATTTATTTTAATTCTATACAAGCATTATCATGGATCACATAATTCACATATCACAAGGATAATGTTAGACTTTTGTAACTTTTAAAAATATATATATATATAAATCAATAATATCTTTAATTGTATTTACAATTGATATTGTTGAACAAAAATATTCCACATAGAATTTGGTGTTGAGAAGTTCTTGCTTATCAAATAAATGTACAATTACGTTCCTGTAAGAAATTATTCAAATATTGTAGAATTCCACAACTAAATATATTAGCAAGTATAGCCACTTTATTTTACCTAATTCATTAGAGTTACGATGTCGCAACTAATTTCAATGGTTCTTCCAGATATTGTACAAGAGCACTTGCTTTTTCTTTCAGTAAACCAAAGCCCACAGTTTGCCGAGCATAAAGGCATAGCAACAGATTGGCAACCTACAAATTAAGTTATACATATTATAAATAAATATTGAAAGAACAAATTTATTTTCACATACTTGTATTACGGCTACTCTGCCTTCTGCGCACTCTATAAATATCATTTGTAAACAATCTTCTTTAAATGCATTCTTGCCATTTTTTTCATATGCGGCCCAAATATTGCTTGTGATTGCTGCTGTAATCCTAGCATCTTTGTCTCCATATCCGGCATAAGCTAATAATGCGCCTTCACGATTTAAGAGTCTAATATTTGATTATACTGTATTATTAAAAACATAAATAGTGAATATGATATGAAGACTCACAATGTTATTTCTATCCCTCCACTATTCGCTTGGCTCAGTACTTGGGTTAGAGCCTTTGGTTTCAACATTTTATTTTTACACAAAACAGTTAATAATAAAACGTATTCATCAATTAATTCAACTTTCGATGAACAAATTAATATATTTAACTGTAAACTACTACGACAATTGACATTTCACATAAACATCATACCAACATTTTAACACAAAAAATGAGTGATTATAAATTAAAAATTTCAATTTAATACAAATTATTATATTGTCATTATAATAGATATATTGATTGATTATTTAATTTATGGAAACAATATTGCCTGTAAATGCACATTTAGCACCTCGTTATTCAAATCATAATATGGTTTTTGGCTATTTCTAGTTTTTCATTTTATAATAGTTGTTTTGTAAAAATTTTATAGTTATATTTAATAAATATTGTTTATTGTCGTTTGTTATTGTATTTTATTTCAATGATATCTATAGAGATATATGATGTAGCACTGAAAATAAATCAAGCCAAAACTCGAAATGTAACATTTCAATTAATAAGATTATCAAAAAAAATTTTTATATTTGAATTATATTTACTTATAATTTATAATCTATTCAGCTATAGTCAAGACATGTTTAAGTTAATTTGGCCAAAATGCCTTTCGTTCGTTTGGTATTAAAGTGATCTAATACGCAATCTAAACTCGTCTTTGTGCAATTTCGAAGATTTGTAGCGACGGCCATCTATTGAGTAGTCCGATAAGTTACCAAAATTTAGAGCGCCAAACGCGGCGCATCTATCTGGTATTGTTCTGTGGTTCGGAACATACTTCGGTTAAGCGGAGCTAGTGTTGTTTGGCGCATGGCGCTTATTGTTTGTGTTTATATCTGTCAACTGCTATTTAATTGTTTAGATGTTAAAATTAGAGGATATATCACTGGGACACTCAGATCTCAATCAAATTAAATATTATGTGAGTAGGCCTTTGTTTTATCGACTTATAATCAGTACTATCTTGGTTTAGTATTGTATTGTTGATTGTATTTGCGGCATGAGTGGCTTGGACTCGTCCATTTTGTGAATCCCGCTCTTTTCCTTCGGCTAATATTCATACAAAAATTTAGCATTTTATTTATGAATATGTTGCACAAGTCATTCGATATTCAATTATATATTAAAAATACGGTATATTTATGCGTAGAATAGATATAAAGCTAATCTCCAATTTGAATTATGTTATAACCTAGGCAATAATAAAGTTCTTGTACGGTACCACACATTCATTCAGTAGAAAACATTATTTCAGATCTTCATATCTACAGTATTATTTCATATCCGACTATTTTAAATTGTTAAAAGGTTATAAATTGATGGTATATGTTTATAAATATTGCATTTGTTTAATACTAGTTCAGATTACTGTTTGATATGGATTTAACTGTATACATGCTTTGTCTATGTTTGCGTAATGTTTCTGCATGTATGTGTGAGTTGAACGTAAGTTTTGGCTTGTATTTCATGTATGAATACAATACCCCGCGTATTCGTTTGTTTATCCTCATGCCCCACGACTGCTTATACAAATCTAAAAATCTACAAATGAAAAAAGAATTGAGGACTCGCAATTAAATCTACCTGTATTTTTTTTTAAATTATATACTTCTGCTTTTATTTTACCAAAATATATTGATATTAAAATAAATATATATTTATACATATTGTTTTGAATTAAAAATAAGATTTTTAATATAATAGTGCGATCTTTTACTGATTTTTTCACCGAATTGGCTTGTTTTTTTTTTTTTCTTTTGACTATTTAATATTAATTGATAATATTTTTCTATGTTTAATCATATGTATGTGAATATATATATATATATATATATATATATATATATATATAATATAATTTGAATGTTTTTGATTTTATTGTTGGAATATGTGCGCTTTTAACATCAATAGAAAATATTAAGCTTTTTAAGTTTATTTTAAATCCTTATTAATTGATTATCGGTAATATTTTAAAGAAAAAAATGAGTTGATCAGAAAACCTGTAAAAATATCTAACAAAAAATTGAAATATTAGATTTGAGAAGCAACAATTATTTACTATACATTGTAGAGCTACGAACAAAGAAATCAAAGATAATAAAAAACAGTTTATTAAAAACATTTTTTTTATTTATTTACTGTCGACGTTTCGGAACTCGGTACGTTCCATTTTCAGGACATCTGTCAAGAAACATGATCTTGATAAGATTTAAACAATATACTTAAGAGAAATAGATATTAGTGGATTTTTTTTTTTTAAATAAAATTGTGAAAGAGTTGACATTAATAAAGTATTACAATATATTTAAAGTAAAAATGATAAAATAAAGAGTGGACTATATAACGAAATGTTATAATTATTTTAAAAAGTTTTTTAGAACTGGGTATTAAGAAAAAACAGAATTAATTACCTGTATGATAGATTATATACATTTATGAAACTAAAAACGATTTTTTTTCAATAAAAGTGCGTTAACTTATTTTCATTTTCTTTTTTTTAAGAAATTAAAGTATGTAAGTCAAAAATATAAACGTTTCGGAACTATGTATGTTTTTCTGTCAATGTTCTTAAAAACAAATTATATTAGAAACAAACTGATTTTAACAAATTTAAAAGATAATGGTTATTTACCCGCATAAATAAACGATTAAAGAAGTTTTTGTATATATTATAAAAAAATAACTGAATATTAGAATATTGTTTGTTTAAATGAACAAACAAATCATCCATCTGATGAGATGTTGTTCTGGTCACTATGAAATGAGTGTGAGTACGATTTTTTGCGTGATACATAATACGCGATAATAATAAATAAAAATGAAGGATTTTTTGTAAATATTCTATTTAATATTTGGACATTAAATATTCTATTCAATAAAAATAAAAATTAAAAAATAATAAATAATTTCAAACCGTGTTATATCAAAACCGTGTACAAAAAGACCGTGTAAAAACAGACTTAGGTGTATATACGAGTATATATATATATATATATATATATATATATATATATGTTTAATTTGAGTTTAATAATCGGGCGTAACATCAATAAAAATAGTATGAGTTTTTTTTAAAAATTTATTTATTTAAAATCCATACGTTTCGGCTAGCATCTTAGCCATCATTCAGTGGTAATCAAGTTAACTATAAAAATTGAAACTAAATAAATTATATGAAAGGAAATTTTGTGGAAAAACAATAATAATAATAATAGTAATAAAACACTTACAATTTTGTATCCTAATATAGCATATGAAACCATTGCTATATTAGGATACAAAATTGTAAGTGTTTTATTACTATTATTATTATTATTGTTTTTCCACAAAATTTCCTTTCATATAATTTATTTAGTTTCAATTTTTATAGTTAACTTGATTACCACTGAATGATGGCTAAGATGCTAGCCGAAACGTATGGATTTTAAATAAATAAATTTTTAAAAAAAACTCATACTATTTTTATTGATGTTACGCCCGATTATTAAACTCAAATTAAACATATATATCAACATCAAATTCAAGACTATTCAAAAAAATATATATATATATATATATATATATATATATATATATATATATATCCTTGAGTGTGAATTTGCGCCAATCGTCGAAATAAAAGAAACAAATAAATAACTATTTATTTATACGTTTCGACACGGTTGTGTGTCATCATTCAGCATTTTTTTTTTGTGAAATTTATATTGAAATTTAATGTGAATATTTTTAATTTTTTTACACGATTTTATTCCATTTAGCACGATTTGAAATTTTATGTACTTAAATTTTTTTGTCAAATTTAATTTTTGCGAAGAATGTTCATATCACAAAAAAGTATTTATGAAAGAAAAAAGTCTGAAACCATCGATAGTATCGATAGTTTGCGAACACTAGCTTAAAGATTTAAGTAAATTCCCCTTTAGCGCGTACAAACAATTTTTACTGGTCAAAGCAAATGTGAATAGCACTAATTTAGGGGAACTATTATTAAAATAAACATGAATTCTTGTTCTTGAAAATTCTTGTTTTTCACTAATTTTAATACGTTTTAGAGAGTAGGACAAATCACCCATTTTTGTATAAGATCAATGTCTTTTTTTACACGTTTTTTTTACACGGCTTTTTCTGGAACCAATCTATATATATATATATATATATATATATATATATATATATATATATATATATATATATATATGTGTGTGTGTGTGTGTGTGTGTGTGTAAATAAATAAATAAATAATTTCACTCATAAATAATTTTAGCTTTTTTATTTTTTTTACTCATTTTTATTAGTTTTCTAATCTATTTCTTTAAAAAAAAATCATTTGGTTTTTATATTGTTTATTTAGTTTCTAAAATTTGCACATAATCATTTTTTTTATATGTTTGCTTTTATATATATGTATAGAGGTTGTGTGCGTAGCTATGCATAGGTATTAAAAAATGGAAACGGGGTTTGCTATACTCGGCACATCGTTATGTCCAGTATGATAAACTTCACTGTTTCACCGTTTCCTGATAACATGCCGGCGCCGCCCGGAAATCTTTTTTCTGCGTTACTCGAGTTAACTACATTGCGCACAATTATGGTACTTATGATAAATAAATATATTTTTGCAGGATGAACCTGCCTCTGATTTAGGAGTCATGGATTTTTACATAACGGATTCCTTGCATGACATATTAGACCATGATGTTCGTTCGGACTTTGCATTATTGGGAGGATCAGGAGATGTGCCTCTTAGCCTGTTTAGTGATCTGACACCTCTGGAACTTGATATGCAAACTGGCTCTAAATACAACTATTATAATGGGCTTGATGATGATAACTTAATTCACAATTTAGATCTGAGCGGGAATGATAGTGATGTTATGATGGTAGACCCAAGTTCTGTTATGCCAGTTTTGTATTCTGAAGTTCGGCCTGTCAAGTCCAGGTTTGGAATCCTGAACAACAGTTTAGACTCACCTATGTCGTCTCCAGATGCAAAGAATCATCTAACATTTTCACCGAAAAGTGTGAAGATTTCAGCAACAAAGACTTATGAAAGATCAACATCTAAGTCAGTTGTGAAAGATCTTCACATGTCGCAAGAAGATTTCTCTTCAGACCTAATTAATAAAAAGAAAATTACACTCCATAGTCCCACAACGAAAGTGAATGTGAAACCTACCATTATAAAAAATATTGACAAAAGTCAAATCAATGATAGCTTTATGAGCCAAACAATAGAATCACTAAATTCTCAACCTAGGATCAGTACCTCTACACCAGTACGAAATGAAATTTATCCCAAGCCTGCTTATTCATATTCATGTTTGATAGCTTTGGCATTAAAAAATTCTCAGTATGGATGTTTACCTGTATCAGAGATCTACAGTTTTATGTGGTATGGAAAATTCAAATGAATGATTACATGATAAACGTCACTTTAAAGATTAATTTAATTAATATAGATGAATTGTGAATTATTAATTTCTTTTAATCACACTACCCAACAATATGTCAATCTAAAACCTGTAACTAGTCATATTTCATATACCATGTATACTGACACTAACTACATTTTCATATTATTTCTACCTTTTTTATTACAATTTTGATTAAATCGTCTTTATGATTATTATTAAATTTCGGTTATAATAAATTTGTAAGTTTTATTCATATTTTTAGTGAACATTTCCCATACTTCAAGACTGCTCCTAATGGCTGGAAGAATTCAGTTCGACACAATCTTAGCTTGAACAAATGCTTTGAGAAAATTGAAAAACCAGCTACCAGTGGCAGCCAGAGAAAAGGTGAATTGATATTTTCAAAATGTTAGAACTAATGACTCTCTATGGATTATTGTATATTTATTTGCCAATCAATTTATAGGTTGTTTATGGGCAATGAATCCCTCTAAAATCGAGAAGATGGATGAAGAAGTCCAAAAGTGGTCAAAGAAAGATCCTATGGCTATTCTGAAAGCTATGATATATCCAGGTATAGATTATATGAAATCAGTTACAATATTTTTAGTATGCATATTTAACAAAAATTTTAATATATTCTTTAGAATTCTGTAACTAAAATCATATTTTTAATAATGGATATAGTTACATTATCATAGTACATATTCTTATTAATACTTGTCAAATGAATAACAACTTACCGGTTGACGCTGTTACTGTGTTGTAAATATTTTATTTCTCAATCCTTAACAAATACTGCTGTTTTTTGTATTTTTATTTCAGTGTTAATCAATTTTGTTTATAATTTATAATCATGTGTAGGAGTTGTGCACAAGTTAAAGACAAATTATTTATTTTTTTTAGAACACCTTGAAGCTTTGGAACGAGGAGATATGAAAAAAGTAGGAGATGAAAATTTTGCGGTTGATTATGATGATGAAGAAAACATTGAAGGTGTTGATAGTGATCTTGAAATTGAACCTTATGTGGAAGTTGAAGCAGATACACACAGTTCTGATGATGACAGCCCTTGGCAGGTATGCATTAAGTAATTCAACTTTTATTTTATATTCAACAGAAATAAACTTACTACATATTATTAAAATAGTTTTTGTTGAACTTTTCAGTAGAGAATTCATGACTATGTGATCCTGTATTATATCTGCCATTTGTCATACATATCTAAATGCACACAACTTTTTTATAATCCTTTTGTAGGATTTTAGTTTTTAAATATACTTTTAAAAAAAATTTCACTAGTGCTGCTTGTAGGTCTCTTGGAATTATCTTGTGCAGTATATGTTACTTATCTTGTTTTTATATCTTTGTCACGTTCAATTAACTATTAACATTGATTCTGCTATGCTTCGTTTAATAAGTTTTTTTCATGGAATAAGATTTGGGGATTATCAAAATCAAACTTATGGTTGTTGATATTAGCGCATCCACAAGCATACTTTTAAATTTTTTATTATCTATATTTTTGCATTGTAATTCATGCTGCCTGAGTCTTTTATCTAAGTTCTGACAAGTCTGGCCAATATACATGCTTGTCATCTTATTTATTAGTAACTGTTGAAGGAGTACATCAAGTGTGACTTTTAATTATTATTATTATTTTTGCAGTTCACCACTTTGAATGATTTTGCACTAAAAAACTTCAATTTAACGGAGGCAGCTTTAGCTGAGTGGCCCAAGGATGATGGTCTCACAACAAGACTTGTGCAAAAGACTCGATTGGTTAAGTAATATGGTTAGATATATAAGTTTACATTTAATATTATATATATATATATATATATATATATATATATATATATATATATATATTTAATTGTATGTATATTTATAATACATGCTACACTTTGAAAGCAATAATCATCATTGGTACACATTGTCATATTGGTTTTTTAGATCATATATTTTTACAGTACTTCTGTAAAAAGTTCAGATGCGACTCATGTATTTCATGAATATATGATGATGTATGTGTTTATTTATACTTCCATATGAATATGATTGCTTCAGTACAAAAATGAAAATCATTGTCTACAACAACGGGTATACACAACACATGTGTACGCTTTGTTGTGCAATATTGAAATATAATTAAATATGTGATGTATGTGAAAATGATTTGTGATAAAGTGAACTTTAGAAATTTCGATTGAATCTTCCACCGTACCAGCAAGTATTAAAAGCATGTCATTTTTTGACTAGCACAAAACCATCACTATTTTGGGATTACACTTACTGTGTTTACTGAAATTTTGTATTTTTATAAGTAGGTTTAATGTAAGTATTCACAATTGCTAATATGAATATTGCAATATTTCAACATTTTATTTGTCAAAAATAATTAAAAGAACTAATGAAGCGAGCAATTCCTTAGATTTAATAGTATACCAATTTTATATGACTATGATTGTAATAGCATTTAGGTATATAACGTGTCTAAAATATATTCAATTTTATATTTGTGTAAATATTTATTAATAAAGCAATAAAATTTTCAATAAATGTTTGCATTCAGATTGGTATTTTATAAGAAATAAAATAAGCCTTCTGTTGTTGTGTGAGAGCATTGTTTTTATTATAATGTTCTCTAATAAGCATTTTCCCTGTAATGAGTACTTTCGTGCAAGTTGCACTCCTCCAAGTTTTAACTTTTAGTTTTATATAATTTGTCTTTTCATCAAACATCCAAGTTATTTTGATGGAATCCTTGTAGTATAAGATCAATCGATCATCCTTCATATGATTTTTTTTGGCACTGCGATTCAAAACCCAAATAACAGTTGTTACAGTTTTCTTTTTATGAGGTCTATTTCACCAATTCATTGAAGTCAAGATTTAGTGTGGTCAGCCAATTATTGTCAAATGTAATAAAAATTCAATTATTGTCCAAATGCAAATTACAGGAGATTTCTATTTCACCAGCAAATATTGGATAAATTATGATGCTAAGTACCATATTGGAATAAATTGCTTAATATAAAAGAAAAGCTAATACAATTCTTATCAATAATCAGTAATTTGTTTTAGTAATGAGTTTTGAGTTGCATTTTGCATTAAGGATGTATTCTGACCCTAGGAATTCCCTCTTAAACCATATAATATTTTCCCTAAATTTTTTATCACACGTAACTAGTTAATGTTTTGAGTATATATAGAAAAAAATGAAAATTAAAAATAGTAAAAATTTCAATTCTGCAGTGTGATAGTGGTGGGTCTCATAAAAATGACACCGAAATATACCCATAATTTTAGCCCCTCCAAATTATCTGAAAGAAAAAAATGTATATATATTATTCATCTCAAATAATGTCCTCATCGCATAAACTATGAACAAGTTAAAATGTTTTTTTTTCACACAAAAAATCAACTTTTCTGATATTCTCATTTTTTTTCTAAAAATAGTAACAATCGGAATTATTTGATGAGCGTAGTTCATACTGAAGAAAAGTCTATAAAGAAAGACTCATTGTCAGTAAAAACTTTAATTAAATTGGTCCAGTAGAAGTTGAGAAAAGCGCGTTTATCACAGTTGCATTATCGTGGTCAAACGATTATATCCTCGGAAATAAATTCAAATTCAATTATAAAAACTTCTCTTGTACACATATTCCTGAATGTTTAAAATTTATCCTTAAAAATATTAAGAAAAACGAAGAAAAAAGATTTTTTTTTTAATTTCTAGACCCACGGAAAGTTGCATGAACTAATGAATATATCAATATATTAATTTATTAGTAATTTAAATATAGAGAGCTATAGGGCGGCCTTATGTTGTTAAACTGCAGATTATTTAATTTTGAACAAAGTTGTCAATTATTTTAGGTTTAAATATTGTAAATCATTGAACGATTTCGCGCAGTAATAATAAAAAAAATAATATTTTATAGTGTTCGTTTAGTAGATAATGAACTTTGTCAATATCCACAGTTTTATTAAAAACCCAAAAAAAGTTTTAACAGTTAGTTACGAAGAAACCTATTATTTATTTATTTATTTAAATATATAGCCCACAGATTTCTCCAAGAGGACTCAAAAATACAATTATTTTACATAATGAATAACAATTAAAATATATACAAAATTACAATATATAGTTAGTAACATAAAATGCTAAGATAAAATTGCATATAATGCAGAATGTAACAATAATATTTATAAACAGAATAAGAAAATATAATGAGATATTTGAAAGAAAATAAAAAGATTAACTTGTGCAGTTGGAGATTATTATTATGCTTATTTATCTATGAAGAAACCGTTCAGCCGAGCTGATATCTTTCAAACAGAATTTTAAAAACAGTTTCAGGATTTTAGGCTAAAACGTGGACAAAAAATGTAAATCATAAGAAAAATTATCATCGCGCAAAACTAATAAACGTTCTTGTCGAATTAGTGCCCAAGTTTGACAACTTAAAATTCGCAAAAAATGGAGTAGTTTATTTTTCTTAATTAATAGACTAAACTGTAATTTTAAAAAATATTAACAAGTTAAGCGTATCACCGGCCAACAGGGCAGCCAACATAGCCGGCGTCGTCACTTGAGGAGTATTAAAGTAAAAACTAAAATTAGTCTGCACGAAATCGATCAAATATAATATTATTGAAATGTGTTGAAACGTTCTAAACAATGTTGTGTATGAGGTAAACGATGCCGATCGTTCGCCCACTGCCGGCTCAAAGTGTTAAATGTCAAGCATTCGACATCGTAGATAACCGTCGGTTTCAGTTACCTGTGAAATCGTGTGATTATTAATTAGTGTTGAAGGTAGTGTTTATAAAAGTTTTGTGATTTATGCAAAGTTTTAATTAATCGACATGAATCAACAGTTGGATTTGTGCCGTGCGAACCAAATTCTGCATTTGGTATTCATCAAGTAAGAACTTAACTAGCTGTAAGTGGGAATTCTGTCTTAAGGCAATTAGGGCATCGTGCCTTAAAGCAAATTGCTGGAACTTCCCGTACCAAAAATTATTATTTTTTTAAAAACGATTAACATTTTTGAAAAAAAATTACTTTGAAAAAAATAAGATTTTTGAGAAACTATAAATTGGACAAAAAAATAGTTTTTTTTGAAAAATTTTTTTCTTTATTTTGACATATTGTGGAAGATCTGAACTTTTTTTTCAAAGCAATCGTACTGCTTTAACGGCTTTAACTGCATATAAGGACAAAATATAAAGCGCGTAAGCGCCGTGTCGCTGTCTAACGCATAAGCATTGGTACGGAACCTATAGGAATGTTAACAAAATGTATACTTATTGTTAAAATCTCTATAAAATATCTGATAATTTGATGTGCATAAGTCTAATGATCATTTTTGACCGCCAAGTGGCTCATTTTTTTATTTTTTCCTCTGTATCTCCGAAACCGCTGCACCTACCTTCATGAAAATTGTATCGATTCTTTATCTTGTAAATACAAATAAAATGTTTTTTGAATTATTCAAATCGGACGCTCCGTTCTCTTAAAAATGGAGGTACCGTTTTTGGCACTTTTCGCCCCGTATCTTCGGAACGGCTAGACCTGCCTTCGCCAAAAACTAATCAGCACGTCTCCTTATCAATACAAATCGATTTTTTTTTGAATTATTGAAATCGGTTGATCCGTGTTCCCGAAATCGTCGACAAAAGTTTGTATCCGCACATACATACACACACGTACATACATACACACACACACACACACACATACATCCATTTTTTCTAAGGTATGCCAAAATATTCAGAAACCTTTGAAACGTAAAGATATATAAAAATTTTAATTTTCGATTTTTTTGCGATTACTATAACCTGCCCTACGGGAAGTTAAAAACACATTTTGTTTGACTAAATTTTATTATACTCATCAGCACGCAAAAAATCTTTTTTTATAAATAAAATGAAAAACGCGAAAAAAACTTTGATTTTCAAGTTTTGTTTAATTTGTGCATCAAATGATTTTGTGCTTAAAAATATGTGGAGTTGATAATGTATTGAATTTCAATACCTATTTATTTTCGAAATGTCGATATAAAGTTTAGGCCATTTTATTAATATACCGTCTTGAGCCTTGAGTTTAAGCTATATGAAGTGTCCTTTGATTGCGTTCTCCTTATTCCTAGACAATATAAGAATATAATATATTTATTTACTTTAATCATAGGTACGATTGCATATAAATCTAACCTCAGCTGAACCGTTAATGAAATTCAATAAAAAGTAATTATGATGAACAGATACAATGATTTAACGTTACTATTTCAAAATTGATTCGTTATTCAATTTTATACAATAACATTGTGCTTCAAGGAATATTTTAGGGAATTTAATATGAAATTCAATAAAAAGTAATTATGATGAACAGATACAATGATTTAACGTTACTATTTCAAAATTGATTCGTTATTCAATTTTATACAATAACATTGTGCTTCAAGGAATATTTTAGGGAATTTAATATGAAATTCAATAAAAAGTAATTATGATGAACAGATACAATGATTTAACGTTACTATTTCAAAATTGATTCGTTATTCAATTTTATACAATAACATTGTGCTTCAAGGAATATTTTAGGGAATTTAATATAAAATTCAATAAAAAGTAATTATGATGAACAGATACAATGATTTAACGTTACTATTTCAAAATTGATTCGTTATTCAATTTTATACAATAACATTGTGCTTCAAGAAATATTTTAGGGAATTTAATATGAAATTCAATAAAAAGTAATTATGATGAACAGATACAATGGTTTAACGTTACTATTTCAAAATTTATTCGTTATTCAATTTTATACAATAACATTGCCCAGACAACACAAGACATCCTGGAAAACGTCCACAGGATATCCACGCGCGGACATTCATTGTCCCTGCGATAGCCTTACGGATATCCCGCTTATCCTGATCTTATCCGAAACATGTTAATATGTCGCACCTATGGGACGTTCTGTAGGATATCCCGCGCGGGATATTCCGGACATAAACCGGACATGAATAGGATATAATTATGGAATTGTTTTTTACTTTTTAGATGAAAAATAAATTTGGATTAAAAATAAAATAAAAGAACACAATTTCACAAAGTAAACTTTTATTACAAAATAACAAAATCCTGAGATAATTTTATAACAAAATTTAATATATACAACTTTAATTCAAAATAACTTATTTTACAATATTAAAAACATAATTAATTCGGCATTCAATCCTAGTTTATGGTTGATTTTCTCTCCTGAAATAGAAAACAAATGAATAAATGCATATATATGTATATATATATATGAGTAAGTTCTTTAAGAGCGATACATCAATCAAAATAGACAGAGATTTATAAAATAATCTCTAATTCCAAATATATCGACACAATTTGATGTCATTACGAGTGAATATTAAACTTGGTTTTTTACATCTAAAAATGTGTACACAGCACAAATTTTGCACTAACATTGATACAACTAACCAGTCAATAATCATGATTTTTTTGTAAATAGGAGAAACATATAGTACACATCTCACAGAAATACCTTGTATAATATTTATTGGCACGTCGCAGCCAGCTTTTTGCAGCCTCTAAAACAGCAAACTATGTCTCATGCGGCAAATTTTTCAAAGCAATTCCTGGAATTAATTATATATTAGTTTTATTCATAATTTACAACACATCATAAGTATAAGATATATAAATTACCTGTGATGACATCGCAAGGCACTAGATCACAAAATTTATTTTTGCCCTTTCCTCGTCCCTAGCAAAATTCTTTGGCCAAACCATCATCAAAAATGGATTTTCATAGCTGGACTCTGATGGCTAAATACAAAATCTAAAGAGAAAGTTTGTTTAGTATATGATAAAGTTAACAAATAAAAATAAATCTATATAAACTTTTGATTACCAATTGTGTTTTGATCCACAAGTTGAAGCTCCTCCAACAAACATAATAGAAAGCATTTCAAAAATATTTAATTTAACTTTTGAGTATGGTTCGAGTCAAACCTCAAAACCAACTCTTTCAATGCTCTTTTTTGTCAATCCTCTTTCAAACACGGCTGCAATATTTGTAACACACACGCACATATAATTATATAGAACACATAAAATTTCCACTATTATTACTCAATTTTAGAGTATTTTGATAAATAATATTAATTATTTATAACACACGCTCATATAATTATATAAAACAAATAAAATTTTCACTATTATTACTCAATTACTCAAAAACTATGACATATAGCGTCTATTGATATGCTGAAACCTTAAAGGACGCTCCGTGCCTACAGCCTACAGCCGACGCGACGAAAGAGAAAGGGACAAACATATGCGTTTAGAGGTCTCAAGCCGTGCGCGTATGAGTGCGACATGTTCGTGAACCGTTTGTTATACCTGCTCGAGTCCTTTGGGTTTGAGACGTCCCGTTGCATATTCATAGGATATTCATAGGATATCGCGATATTAGGAGATTGTGAGGACAAGTGGGACATTCCCTGGCATGTCTTGTGCTGTCTGGGTGTGCTTCAAGGAATATTTTAGGGAATTTAATATTTATATTAATAATACTTAATAACAATAATAATAGTTATATAACAAATAATTTTTTAATTTCCGTATAGTAAGTTATGGTACTCGCAAAAAAATCGAAAATGAAAATTTTATTTTTACGTTTGGCATACCTTATTATAAATAACAATTTAGCATACCTTATAAAAAAGCTAAAATTTATGAAAAAAAGATTAACAGTATAAAAAAAATAAACTTTTTTTTAAAATGGCAATCTTTCAAAAATTTCAAAAGTCGCAAAATTTCTATTTTTTTTTTAGTTTTTATAAATAATTTCTTTTTTAATTGGTATACTATTTTCATATCTCAGTCAGGAAGAGGTGCCTGGTATAAGAGATTATGAAAACAGTTTTCATATTTTATATATACATTTCATTTGACTATCTTATACATTAATATACTATTTATTATAATTAAAATATCTGTAAGTATCTGTTTAAATCTTCTTTGTCTTCAATTTCTTTATTTTTCTTTTAAAGTTATGGTCATCTTTTGGTACCAGTCATTAATTTTTGGTACGAGAAGTTCCAGCAATTTACCTTAAGACATGATGCCATGCACCAATAGTTGTTTTATTGTATTGAATTGTTACTCGGCAGCATTTTATTGTCGATCCTTCTTTATGTCTAATAGAAAATCCAACTCTCATTTTGGCTTTGTTGAATGAAGTCACAGAAAAAATAGGCATACCAGATTAACGCATTTTCTCAATAAATATATTTTGTTTAAGAATCAGCACCGATTTCGTAATTTCTCATTCAATTTGTAGTTTAGTTCATAACATATATAATTGACATTTTAGAAGATACCACGTTTTATACATCAATATTTAGCGACCTATCTAAAGCTTCTGATCACTTATCTATGCTTCTGATGGTATTTCTCACAAAAGACCACTGATTATCAGAATTCACCATTTGAATCCTACTTATCTAATCGAACTTAAATACTGACTACTTCTTTTATTTACATTACTGATTCACTTTCTTGTTATTTTATTTCAATTGCAGATGACATCAACATTATCATCATAGCTAAATCTTCTAAGAAATTAATACAATTAAATGTTATCATATCGAAAATAAATTAATTATCCAACAATATCACCCCATTGATGGTCATCTGTAATTCAGTATATAATTTTTTTTCTCAAGGTATTCATCATAAATAATTTTCACAAAAACCTAAAATAGTATAGTCCAAAGTCTCAACTAGTCTGTGCTTGATAAAACTTTTGTATTCGTAACATTCTTTTGATATAAATTCATTGATTACGTAGTTAAATGTGTGATATTGTGAATATGTAACAATTTATTTTAGTTTACTTCAGCTTATATTAGCACTATGGAAATAATGATTATATACCATTATTTTCATTTGATGAATTGCCCTGAAAATTTTGGTTCACATGTTTTAACATCAAAATTATTTTAAAAAACTTTAGACACACACACACATTATATATATATATATATATATATAACTACATATAATTGGTGAGTTCTGTTGCATAAATTTTCATTAAAACAAGATTTTATTTGTTGTTTGGCATCTTTTTACATGAACGCTTATACATATTTATATATTAATACAATTTGCTGTAAGTAGAATTCATTTCTTCATTTCACAATATGAAACAGCAATAAATGTTAATTAAAACATTATATTGATAAAATATTTCAAAATGTGGGTGCATTTAAAATGAATAATCTTTCTTCCTCTTTCTTAATCCATTTTAACAATTTATTAACAGAATCTATTGCATTCTGCTTCTCAACAAGAAGATCGAAAGTGACATACAACTCAAATCCAGTAGTTATCTGAAATAGTAAAATTCATTATTTTGTGCATTCTTACAAGCAGAAATCTTCAATCATATTTAAACATTACCCAAACTAGCATTGTCTCCTTTTGTAAGCACATGTACATAAGTTTTAATGGCCGAGCTCTGTTATGAATTTTATGATGCATTCTTTGATATAGCCCAAATAGTCTTTTAAATTCCCCTGTTATAAAAACATGATATTCAAGCAGCTTTATCATGTAGTGATTTAAGCTCATATTAAGTATTATTTGTTTGTTTCAAGTTATTATTTAAATATTAATTAATCTTAATTTAATTATTAAGACTAATAGATAAAGTAAGAGTAGTTAAAAATTACCTGGTAAATTATATGGTGCCTGTATTGCAGAACCAAATAACTGAGCAGTAGATTTACATTTATATAAAAAATGCCTCATCCCCGTGATTCCAATGGATTGTGGTGTTACAGAAAACTGATTCATTGATTCATTAATTGCCTCAAGACAGTTGCTCCTACGAAGTTTCTAAAAATGTTTTCCACTAAAAAATAAGTAACAAAAAGTAATAAAAATTAAACGAACCTCAGTAATTTTTTGCTTTGCTTCAGATAAAGTAAAGAATACATCTCTATCAACTGTTAACAGTAACAAACATGCTTGGCAATCTTCAGCTAAATATGATACATGTCCATGAAGAAACCCACTAAAACATTAAATATATTTTCTATTTTATTATGTGATAATACCTTACGCATTATTAATTTATTTATACCTGGAATCAAATTTTGGTAAACATATTGGTGTCCAACTTTCTGCACTCTTAAATGATTCCGAGCAGTGTACTAAATTTATTATAAGATGCAAATCTGCTGGATGAATAACATATTTCTTCATTCTCACTAATGTAACTAATTGATCTTTAGCAATCAAAATTGCAAATACTAAATTTTTAATCTTTTGACACACATTTGTAATTGTATTTGCAATAGTATCTCTATATTTTAGTGCTAAAGGTAAACATTTAACTGCTCCAAGTAGAAATGAAGGTTCTTGTTCCATAAAATGCAATAAATGGTCAATTAACCTTTCAGATCCGGCCAACATTCGGCGCAAATCATAATTTCTTCTTTGTTCATAAATTCTTGTTAATGTTGACAATGTGAGGATACTGATAATTTGGTTGAAAACATACCTATAAAACAAACATTTATTTATAGTCATTGATCGTTTACTTAAAAACTTAATATAGTTTTAAGTCTTGCACATGTTCAACTATTATTGATACACATTCATACATATAAATATGCTGTAAAAATATAATGCATGAAATAGACATCACCACAAGTAATTTCACACTATTCACTAGATGTTTTATATTAAATATATTTGAATCATAATTCAAATTACCTATTCATATGGTATATCTACTTACGTTAATTGCAGTATTATCTGTGAAACGCTTTCTCTTGTCTTAGACACTGCTACAAGAATTAATGGTCCTTTGACAAGAAAAACAAACTCAGTACTTTTTGTGCGTACAGATCTTACAATATCATTATTAGATTGTATCACACTAACCAGGGCTTGCATAACACCAAATGTTGTTGCTAATTTTTCTTCATTGCCATATCTAGCATATATTGGTTTACCTGCAGAACTTAAGATGAAAATATGTTTCTCTTTACTAAGCCATTCGGAATTTCTTAAATAATCATCACTGATCACAACTGAACTATCGTCTTCCACTGGCAAATCTTTATGTTCATTATTCTGTATCGTTATTTCAACAGAGTTAGAATTAATTTGTGTCGCGTCATTTTCGATGTCTTGACATTTGGATTGTATTTTATTAATAGTACTTGTATTTTCTGTTAAATCATTGTCTCTATAGCTCAATTCTTTCGCATATTCATCAAATGAATCAGTTACAACTATTGCACTTTCTGTACTCGCACCAGGCTCGCAATTTAAGGGAACATCTACTTGCTCTAGAGATTCCATTGTACGGGATATACCATTATATCAATTTTTCGTACGTAGTTCAACATTAAAACAATTACATATAAACTATAAAATAATAACGGTCTTACTAATAATAACTTATATATTTAACAAATAGTATACTTCAACAGCTTTGTTGAGAGAACTTTGACATGTGCATGTTTGACAGATGGTTCATAGATACCAATTTCTTTACGTCATAGACTGGACTACTAATTGATGTAAAATACAGTCAAACGCTATAACAACCATAGATAAAAGAAGAGTATATAGCAACAAATTAAAATAATTGTTGTTCATTCTAAAGTATATTTTGTAATGGATTTGATTTTGAAACTTTCAATTTAATAGTTTTTAAAACGTAAATAGTTTTTAATTCTCAAAAATATTGAAAGCATAGATAATTAATTAAAAGGTGTTCAAGAGTGGTAGTTCAAAAATAATTTAATTAAAATTATTATTTATTACTTTATTAAAGTTTTCAATGTATCACCTTTTGAGCATGATAATCGAAATTGTTATTAATATTATTAGTTCTGAAAAAGAGTCAAATTGGGACTCAAAACGTATCAATTAAAATAACATACATGGTCTGTTCAAAAAGTACCCGGAATTACTAATAATTAAATTTCGCGGGTCTGGAGTGTCTGATTGTCAAAATTTTTTTTTTATTATGTTGGTATACATGCCCCTAAAGTATGATGAAATTTTCAGCTATATTCACTGTTTACTTTGTCTGTGGTAGTCGCTAAGGTTCGACGTGTTTTTCTGAACTCGGCGATTTTTACAATGGAAGAATTGAAAAAGTCAAAGAATTTGTATTAAATTTTGCGTAAAAAATGAAATAAAGTGTTGCAAAGTGCAAAAATTCACCAGATATGGCTCCGTGTGACTTTTTCCTATTCCCAAAGTTGAAGAGACCCATGAAAGGACGGCGGTTTTCCTCGATTGAAGAAAATCGCCGAGAGTGCTCAAGGACATATCAAAAAGTGAATATCAAGGGTGCTTCGAAAATTGGAAAAAACGCTGGCATAAGTGTATTATATCTGGGGGGGACTACTTTGAAGGGGACCACATTAATGTAGACGAATAAATAAATATTTTTTTGAAAAAACGAAAATTACGAAAACTTTTTGAACAGACCTCGTATTTTAGTTTTCTTTCTATTTTGTTATCTGAAAAACTTTTAAGGAGTTTATATATATATATATATATATATATATATATATATATATATACTAGCCGACCCGGCAAACGTTGCTTTGCTAAGTTAGGTATTTAAGCAACTTCTAAAGAATAAAAAAAAGAATACTTTATTTTAGGAGTGTAATAATGTATAGTTTGAATGGTGCAGACAATTAGGTATTATAAACACAATAAACTCCAAAGTCTACTTGTATAATAATAAATTATATAATTCATAATTGATACAGCATATTAGACTTAAAGATAGGGTACAGACAAAAACAATTAGACACTACACTACACTAATAAACACAATTTTAACACCAATCTATCAGTAGTTTAAACATTTAAAACTAATTATGAATTAGAGTTAAAAAACTAAATTTGTGTACATAGCTGTTGAAGTCTATGCGCTGAATGAATGTGTTTATAAAGATTTTTTAAAAAATGTGCAAACTGGCAAAAACATATGGTTTTGGAAAGTAATAAAAAAGGGTCAGGCTTCATTCAGTAATAATATTGTTTGAAAAATGGTCGAGGAATATCTTGTAATCATTGCAGAGCGAATAGCTGTTAAGTCTCTTCTTGATTGCTTTATTGCTTAACGATATTAGACAACCTTCACTAAATCTTTTTTTAAATATATTGGTTTCAAAATGTAAAATACTCGGGTTTAGGAAATCAATGTTGTGCTGAAGGTTATTTATGTGTTCTGTGAGCATTGTTTTATTTCGATTCTTATTTTTTGAATTATTTCTGTGTTGAGAGATTCTGTTGTGTAAATTTTGGCTGTAGTTTCGCCAATGTAAAACCCTTGGTAATTTAGACAATTTAATTCGTATACTAAATTACTTAAAATTTTCGAATAGAATTTAGATTTTAATTCAGTGATAATGTTGAAAGAGTGTTCTCTGAGGTAAAGGCTACTCTAATATTATGTTTGATAAAGAATTTTTTTCCATGCATTCCTAAAAAAACTTTTTAGTTTTCCTCTGAATGGCGGTCTTCGATGAGGATTGAAACGTATGGATTAACTAGCTGTAAGTGGAATTCTGTCTTAAGGCAATTAAGGCATCGTGCCTTAAGGCAAATTGCTGAAACTTCCCGTACCAAAAATTATTATTTTTTTAAAAACGATTGACATTTAAAAAAAAAAATTACTTCGAAAAAATAAGATTTTTGAGAAACTATAAATTGGACAAAAAATTACTTTTTTTTGAAAAAAAAAAATTTAATTTTTTTTTTTTAATTTTTTTTAGAAAAAATAATGTTTTCTTTATTTTGGCATATTTGGGAAGATCTGAACTTTTTTTCAACGCAATCGTACTGCTTTAACTGCATAAAGACAAAATGTCAAAGCGTGTAAGCGCCGCGTCGCCGTCTAACAAATAAACATTGGCACGGAACCCATAGGAATGCAAACAAAATTTATACTTATTGTTAAAATCTCTATAAAATATCTGATAATTTGATGTGCATATGTCTAATGATCATTTTTGACCGCCAAATGGCTTTTTTTTACTTTTTTTGTTAGATCTTCGAAGCCGCTAGACCCGCCCTCATGAAAATTTGATCAATTCTTCATCTTGTCAATACAAGTAAAATGTTTTTTGAATTATTAAGATCGGACGCTCCGTTCTCTTAAAAACTGAGTTATCGTTTTCGGCACTTTTTGCCCCGTATCTTTGGAACGGCTGGGCCTGCCTTTGCCAAAAACTAATCAGCATGTCTCCTTATCAATACGAATCGAATGCTTTTTGAATTATTCAAATCGGTTGATCCGTGTTCCCGAAATCGTCGACGAAAATTTGTATCCGCACATACATACACACACGTACATACATACACACATACATACTACACACACACATACACACACACACACACATACATCCATTTTTTCTAAGGTATGCCAAAATGTTCAGAAACCTCTATATAAAAATTTTCATTTTCGATTTTTTTGCGATTACTATAACTTGCCCTACGGGAAGTTAATAAAGCTGATTTCGTAATTGGTTTAGTTTCTTTATATATATATATATATATATATATATATATATATATATATATACACATATTAATTTTATATTAGTTTATTATAAGATTTAGTAAGCGTTACATGAAACAAGTTATATGTAATTTGAAAAGCCTCGTTGAGAGATCTTTTGTGTAGTGTTAAGCCTAGACAATATAATAATGGTGTTGAGCAATTGCTGAACAATTCCATCAATTTCCATCATTAGACATGTTAGTTTCGTGTTTAGCCCCGCGGTCCAGTGGCGGTAGCGAGTGATTCAATATGATCGTTGATGACAGAGAAGTTGATGACAGTTTGTCATCTACATCTGACTTCGTCTATCTCGCTGTCTTTCTTTACTAGGAATGCTTTTCGATCTGGTAATACGTACGTCAAGTCTAGTGGAAATTTATAAATTCAATCTATGCAATGAATTTTTAAGTTGTTGCAATGAATGCACCGAATTCCTAGGCAGTGAACATTTCAATTTTTGTAATTTATAAATTTTATCCTGACATTTAACCTAGATTAATGATTTCGCGTGCCAAATTGATTATAATTTCTGGTTGGTTTTAAGTTTCGGGGCTTACATATCAAATTTTTTTGGTTGTCATCTTTTTACTTAAAGGGTAAGAATATTCATTGTATATATTGTATTACAGTGTTTATTACGATAAAACAGCAAGTTATTTAAATTGAATTTTTTATATATATATTTTGTTATTACATAAAAACCGATCTAAAATAATTATTTGAGGTTAGGATAGATTTCTAGCACGTGAATATTATATTAAAGTGGTTCTGTAATATAAAATTTCCAGTGCTCTTTTAATGTACAGAAAAGTAATTCTTGTTTTTGTTGTGCAGTAGTATTGATGTTAAAATCAGTTTATGTGTGCAATTAAAGACATTTAATTTTTTTTGACAGATAGTTTGATTTGATTATATCAAAATGCCTTCGAGTAATCCTTTGCCACCTAAGGAAAATGCTTTGTTCAAGCGTATACTCAGATGCTATGAACATAAACAGTATAAAAATGGACTTAAATTTGCTAAACAAATTCTCTCAAACCCAAAATATACTGAGCATGGAGAAACACTGGCAATGAAAGGTTTGACTCTAAACTGTTTAGGAAGGAAGGAAGAAGCTTATGAACATGTTCGGAGGGGCCTTCGAAATGACCTCAAATCTCATGTTTGTTGGCATGTCTATGGTCTTCTGCAAAGGACTGACAAAAAATATGATGAAGCTATTAAATGCTACAGGAATGCTCTGAAATGGGAAAAAGATAATTTGGAAATATTAAGAGATTTATCATTGTTACAAATTCAAATGCGTGATATGGAAGGTTATAAAGATACACGATATCAACTGTTCTTATTAAGACCCACACAGCGGGCATCTTGGATAGGTTTTGCAATGAGTTATCACTTACTAGGAGATTATGAAATGGCAAACAGTATACTCGAAACATTTCGAAGGTCACAATTAGTCAATCCTAATAATAAAAACACCATATTAGATTATGAACATAGTGAATTATTACTGTACCAAAACCAAGTAATAGCTGAAGCTGGTCGTTGTGAAGACGCCGTAAAACATTTGGAAATGTTTTCTGATCAAATAATGGACAAGCTAGCTGTAAAGGAAACATCTGGTGAATATATGATAAAACTTGGCAGATTTTCAGAAGCTATCAAAATTTTTGGGAACCTTATTCATAGAAATCCTGAAAACACATTATATTATGTAAAACTGATAGAGTCTAAACAACTTACAGAAGATAAAATCGTTGATTTTTATATTGAATATCAAAAACTGTACCCTAATGCTATTGCACCCCGTAGGTTAGCTTTAAATCATGCTAGTGGTGATTTATTTAAGCAACTAGTTGATGATTATTTACAAAGAGGACTGAAAAAAGGTGTGCCTCCACTTTTTGTGGATTTGAGGTCATTATATAGTGATACTTCAAAAGTGGATATAATGCAATCATTATTATTACAATATGTTGAGTCTCTCATGGCATGTGGTTGCTTTTATAAAAAAGATCAAGGCCAGGATCAAGCTCCGGCATCTGCTTTGTTATGGACATATTATTTCTTGGCTCAACATTACGATTATCTTAAAGACACTGCCAAAGCATTAGAATATATAGATGCAGCTATTGAGCACACTCCTACTTTAATTGAGTTATTTGTGACTAAAGGTAAAATTTTCAAACATGCTGGAGATCCTTATGAAGCTTATAAGTGGGTTGAAGAAGCACAGGCATTAGATACAGCTGATAGATATATTAATTCAAAATGTGCGAAATATATGTTACGTGTGAATATGATTAGAGAAGCCGAACATACTTGTGCAAAATTTACTCGAGAAGGCATTTCTGCTATGGAAAATCTAAATGAAATGCAGTGTATGTGGTTTCAAACAGAATGTGCTCTAGCATTTCAGCGTTTAGAAAAATGGGGAGAAGCATTGAAAAAATGTCATGAAGTGGACAGGCATTTTTCAGAAATAATTGAAGATCAATTTGATTTTCATGCTTACTGTATGCGAAAAATGACACTGAGATCTTATGTTGGTCTTTTGCGATTAGAAGATGTTTTAAGGTCGCATCCATTTTATTTTAAAGCTGCGAGATGTGCGATTCAAGTGTATGTACGATTATTTGATAAGCCATTGAAAGACGAGTCAGCAGAAGCAGAAATTAATACAGAAAACCTATTACCCTCTGAATTGAAGAAGCTTAGAAATAAGCAACGTAAAGCTAAGAAGAAAGCTGAACAAGAAAGTGCGCAAGCTGCACAAGCTCAAATAAAAAAAGAACAACATAATAAGAGCCGGCAGTTAGAAGGGGATCCAGAGGCACCAATACTGGAAGATCTTATTCCTGAAAAATTAGCGTTTATTGAAGATCCTTTGGAGCAGGCTATTAAATTTTTGAAGCCTCTTCAATTGCTAGTATCAAATAACATTGAAACACATTTAATGGCTTTTGAAATATATTATCGGAAAAATAAATTATTATTAATGCTGCAGTCCATCAAACGTGCATTAAAAGTTGACTCTGAGAACTCAATGCTACACACATGCATAATTCGATTTTATGAAGTTATGCATGCAATGTTTCCAAATGTGGACACTGTTGTAAAAGCAGTTCTTGAAAAGGAAGTTCAATCTATATTCAAGGGCATGAATTCTCAACAAATGAATGAAGCGTTTTTGAAAAAGCACTCATCGTTACCTGCTTTGTATGCCGGAGCTCGAATGATGTATCAATTAGATCCAAAAAAGAAAGATGAGTGTTTAAAATTAGTAACTGATTTAACTGCAACGGATATCACACTAGACAGCTGTTCAAAGGTTTTAAAATCACTTCAACAAGGTGATTTTGGACCTTGTCCAAATTACATTGAAAAATTTCTCACAGAATGCAGAGTGCTATTCCCATTTGCAACTGTTTTCAGGAGTGAAGATGCAGTTACAAAATGTCCTGTTCCTGAAGTAAAAGCAGTTTTAGAAGAAAACTGACCATTGTAAAATATTTTACTGTTCACTTTTCTTTTAGACATTGTTTCTGAAAAAATCTACGAAAGTAATATTGTTATAATAAATAGCACTATCAAATTTAATATAATTATTAAATCTTAAGTTCTATTTGTAAATTGCAAATTTGAGTTTTATCAAACTTATAAATTGACTATAAGTTAATAGTGTATTTAAAAAAAATGTATTAGAATTCTTTATTTTATGTGTATTTTTAAACGAAAACAAATTGCAGATCAATTAGCTCTTTGTTGTTTAATACATGCAATAAATGGACTGTTGTTACATTGTACAAATAAATTATTCTCTACATTATTCATCTCGATAAAAAAATCTCATATGTAATTTAAATAAATAGTTAGATTTAATAATAGTTGCAATAGATACTTTTCAACATATGAACTCTTAGTTTGATTAAATGGTAGTAGTAACATTGCATAGGTGGGTGTGGATGAATGGGAATTTTATTCCAATTACGATAAAATTTGATGCAGTCCTTTCCCTTGAGATAATTAAAGTTGAAAGATCAGCTATAGTTATTGGGACACAAAATTTATGTGCAAAATTCACAAATACAAATATGATTCGTTTTTGTTTGTATTCTTCATAAATATTCAAGAATATTGTTTGAAAAAAAATATAGAATGGAGTGCTAGTTTATACACATATCAATGTGTGAATGTTGTAAATGAAGTAGATGAATATGTTTAAAATGATTTTAATCATTTAACCCTTACCTTTTGGCACCGATTCAAAACCAATCTATCAACAACTCGACATCAAAAATGGGTAACTAGTGGTGTATGGCATCGTGTTTCGAGGCAAATTGCTGGAACACTTTCCTTAATAAATTAATATTATGAAAATCTGAATTACTTTCTATATTCATAAATTTTTTTTTTGGAAATTAAAAAAAAAATTGAAAAACTTTTTTTTCCTTTTCCCAAAAACAATTTATTGTCAACACAAGTAGAAAGTTGTTTGAAACATTCAAATTGGATGCTTTTTTTCTCTCAAAAACCGCAATTTTTTGCACATTTTGCTCCATATCTCCAAAACGGCTAGACCTGCCATTGCCAAACACTAATCACCATTTTTCCCCATCATTACGAATTGAATGTTTTTTTGGATTATTCAAAACAGACGCGGTTTGTTCATTCTATTCGACGCTTTAATACGAATTGAGTCATTGTGTTCACATATATTGAGGAGGCAGCCGAGTGGAAAGGGTTAGATATATATTTATTTTTTTCAGTGCGTTTATTAATAAATAGGCATAATCGGTTCGAACGTGAGCTAGCACAAACTAGTTCCGGGTTCGCTGGTTCGATTCCCGCTACCGCCAAGCCTGACATCAGGCAGCTTTGATGTCAATTTTCCGTTTGGGGTTATGGATCATAATATAATTTCAAGTGGAAATCGTCCGTCGTCGACATAGCTGCTCATTCCATCATATGATTACTATTAGACGTAAGAGCTAATATAAACCCCACACATAGGAGAATGTGGTGATGGGTTGCCTCTCATAAAAATTGCGTTAGGTCATATGTCTTCAACAAACAAAGTAAGAGTTCTGATTGCCGTTGAAAGAATAAAAAAACGACATTTCGTAATAAGTTACGTTCCATCATCAGGCTTTCTTCTAGTCAAGTTTAGATCACTAAATATATCACTGCAGTTTTAAACTTGCAACTGTACTTAAAGTGTTTTAAATTGAATATTTTTCAGTTAATTCAATTAATGATGATGGTAATTCAGTATATCATACCAGTGGCGGATTAAGCTCTCTGTCGCCCTAGGCTCTATCCGTTCATGCGCCCTTTTTAATAGACAAAATTTTACGTTTTTAAACACATTTTTTTAAAATTATTCAGATATAATTTTTAACTTTGCGTCGGGTAAGTTATATTAATCGCAAATGAATCGAAAATGATATTATTTTCTTATCTTCACGTTTCAAGGCTTTCTGAACATTTTGGTATACCTCAAAATGTATATGTGTGTATGTATGTATGTATATATGTTCGATACCCATTGATCCTGATTAGTTTTTTGCTGAGGCTGGTCCAGCCGTTTCGAAGATACGAAGCAAAAAGTGCAAATAGAAATCATCAATAGAAGTACCTTACGTCCTGAATATTTTCCTTATGTCGTATTTTTGTAGATCAACCCGACTGTTGATCCTTTCATATTTGATTACTTCATTATTAGAAATTATCTACGAGGGCTGACTTATTAATTCCCGAAAGAGCACTTTGTTTGAAATTTTAGAGTCTTTTTCGCATCTGTACTTATTATTATTATTCTTATAAGTATCTGATAATTTGATAATGCGTATGTCCAATGATCATTTTTCACCACAAAGTTTTATTTTTATAACTCTATTCCGAATCTCCATAACCGCTGAACCTGCCTTCCCAAAAATTGGTTAATTCTTCATTCAATATGAGTAAAATGTTTTTTGAATCATTCAAATCGGACGCTTCGTTTTCTCAAAAATCGAATTTCCATTTTTTCTACTTTTTGTCCTGTATCTTCTAAATGGCTGAACCTGCCTTCACCAAAAACTAATCAGAACGTTTCCCTACCAGTAGGAATCGAATGCTTCTTGATTCATACAAATCGGTTGATCCGTGCTCTCGAAATCGTCGAAAATTAGTATTCGTCCTAATCAAAAAACCGTACGAAAATTAGTATCGTCCTAATTACATACATACATATTACTTACATCCAAACGCATGCACACACAAACATCCATTTTTTTCTAAGACACAAACCACCAAAAATTTTTTTGACTACCAAATGGCACTTTTTTGGATCACCAAAAACGCTCACTCAACCATCGCAAAAATTTAGTCAATTCTTCATTTCGTTGTTTCGAATTTTTTAATCGGATAGAGAATGTGGTTCTCTAAAAAAATGACTAGGTATTTTTTATCATATTGCCCCCTATTTCGAAATGGGTAAACCTGTCTTTACCAAAAACTAATCAGCACATATTTCCGACAATTGAATCATTCAATCGGTTGATTCGTCTCAAAAGCGTCGTCAAAAAAATGTAACCGCAAATATACGCATGCATACATCAATTTTTCCTAAGGTATGCCAAAATGTTTGGAAAGTTTTGAAACGTAAATATTTATTAACAATTGTAGTTACGTTTCCTTTTTCGAATTACTATAACTTACCCGCGAAGGAATGCCAATTGGTAGTCAAAAATGATCAATGAACCTAAGCACACCAAATTGTCAGATATTTTAGTTTAGGTTCAGTTTTATTTTATAGAATTCATTTTAAAGAAAAAGAATTATGTTAATTTCCGAAATAAAATAAGAAACCATTTAGAACTCTAAAGCGTTTTGTTTTGTATGTAAGATTCACAAGTAAGTTAACAAAGTTACAAAAAATGAACAGATCTTCAATATTTATCCAAAATTATCATTTTGATAATTTTTATTTTAAACATGATACATCAATAAAAATATTAATGAGGCGCCTTCGAATAAGTTTGATTAAAAAACGAATAACATTCTACTTCATAGAAAATTATATAGATCAGGATCAATCCTTAAAATCAATTGCCGTGACAATTTTTCGATTTAAAATTTTGACATTCTGAAAAATTTGCCGCCCTCCAAATTGTGCCGCCCTAGGCCCGGGCCTATGGGGTAATTCAGCACTGATATCATACAACAAACACGTAAAACGTCTATAAAATCTTGCTTAGTTAAGCATGTTCAGATTTTTTTCAACATCGACCATAATCGCCAGAAAAATATAACAATTGCGAAGAATTGGCTCAGGTCATCTTTACCAAAAACGAATCAGCACGATTTTCAATTCAATGAGCTATCTCGAATAGTTTATGAATTTTTAAAATATACTCAGGATTTTTGGCAACCCGTGGGCAAAAAAGTTTGCATTTTTATGCTAATTATAACGAACTTGCAGAACCGATATTCGCGCAAAACTAATTAATGCGAGTTCAATTAGTTTTATAGATTGGATTTCAAAATTTTGAAATCGGAGCAGCCGTTTCTGAGAAAACGTCGACGAAAGTGAAATTTTGTTTCACATACGCAAAAATATTCATTTTTTTCAAATTTTGTGTCCAACGATTAAGAAATGACTTGATGCGCCGAGAACAGAAAAAATAGCAAATCGTTTTTTTTTTCGGGAAGTTGGCTAGTTTTGTAAAACATTATAAAAAATAATTATGTTGATAAATAAATTGAAGATTGATAATAACACAGGTCGACAAAATAAAAAAGTTATCTGTATTGAGTGTGCGGCATATGTTTTCCCATGTAGTTTTTCCGGCTGAACACGAATCTAAAGTCAAACAAGTGAAAAAAAAACGACAAAATATCTGATCTAGTAATTCTTCTGCATAATATTCAAAATATTATAATTTCTGCCGTTTCCTGGTTCTTTTTATCTTAAATGACCATTGAGTTTTTATTAAATGATCTATTCCTTTTTTCTGTAATTTGCAAATATATTTCCTTCCTATTGCCTCTGGGTAATCTGAAACCATGCTTGAAATTTGAATATTTGAAAATGTGTTGGCAAAATAAGTGTGTTTTCTACAAAAAAAAAAAAAATAGATCATTCAAGTGAATACACAATAGTCATTTAAGGTAGAAAGGGCAAGGAAACGACAAAAATTACATGCAGGGGAATTATTATATCGGAGATTACGCCACTTTTAAAATCTTTCTCATTTTTTTGCCATTTGACCCTAATTTTGACTTCAATTTCGTGTTATGCGGTAAAATCTACATTGTAAAACACATGCCGCATACTTAATACAACAGACAAGTTTTTTATTTTGTGGACCTGTGTAATCGCACAAAAATGATACTATTCTTCAAATTGAAATAATATGTACATGTACAGAAAATATCTGAATACTATTAATAAATTTTATCTGAAATATTTCTTTTAAATTTGTGTTTTTTTTAATTATGATAGTATGCCAGAAATCAAAAATTAATATCATATTCTAAAATATAGGAAATATCGTGCATTGTACAGAAACTTGGATTATAAAAACAATAATAGTATAATAATAAATAATACTTATTTATATCTAATTTAAAAGTTCATTAGAAAACTAGGAACAGTGAGAACATGAGAAGAATTCAAATCAACCGGAAGGATTTAAAATTTTTTAAAATTTACT